AAGAATCTCGTAATCAGTATCTGAGAGGCAAACTAGTTGAGGTAAGTCAGATAGAACTAAAGCTCTCTTACGGGAGGAAAAACTGTGAAAACAGTGAATAAAAGCGCAGTCAAAACCTCGTTTCGAAAGAGTCAGAGATAGAAGACTCGATTCATTTCTTCAGCACACCTAACACAGCTCTCAAAGTTAAAACCATAGAAACAGGAAAGCGAAGCATTTGATATCGATGCCTTTGGATTTATTCATTTCACACCATATTACAAGGCTGAGGATGCTATGATACCAGATGAATTCGAATTATCAACAGGCCGTCAATCACCTTCGCCAACCGCCACTTTTAAACTAATTTCCGGACGAATCACAGAGGGCCCACGATTTATGATGTTAATCAACGTCTAGTAGGCCAAGTCAATAAAATAGAATACCTGACTGAAAGAAGCAAAAAGGAAACAGTGCTTCAGATGAATTTGCTGAGATAATCTCTTTTCGCTATAACAAAGTCAAACTTCACGTAAACAAGCAAATGATAAAGATCGTCAGTGAAACCTAACAGAAGATAAAAATGATAAATCATTTAATGCTGCTTAGTGCCACTTCTGAACAATTATGGATTCTGAACGCTAGCTATATAATGACCTGATTGCCGAAAGTACAAAGCAGGGTGTTCAACCGCATAAACAAGTATGGTACCGTTATCTGGCTTCGCAGGGTGGAACCCAACCGGGATAGGGATGCTGATTGTAAGCGTTTATACAAAATTTCCCCAAATAGCTTACACTACTAATAACAAATCCTTAAATGGTAGTGGTAACCTAAGCGAAGAAGAGAGAAAAACCTAAAACAGAAGATGGTACACTTTTATGAACTTACCGGACGAGGAGTCTGAGACCGCTGCTGCTCCTTTTCGGATGCGTGGTTTAGCTCATCCATATAGATGCCCACAACTTCTTGCAAATACTCTTCCTCATTGTTGGTTTTCTGACTTCTCAATCTCGGGTGCTAAATACAAAAAAAAACATTTTTTTTAGATTTTCGATAGCTAATTGGGTAATGCATGAACTGATGGATGCAAATAGCTTATTGCAGGTCCAATAATATTTTGAAAACCAACCCGTACGGCTTTTAAGCAGAGGTCCTCATCAAAATCAGATGATCCCAGAAATGATCGAATGTGCTCTATCGTGCACTGTTCTTCAGGAGTTGGGCCTCCACCAGTCTAAACAATTTTCCATTTAAAGTTATTAATCATGAAAAACATTGAAAGAATGCCCAACGAAAAAAGCGCTACCTCTCGAAATGTAACTGCTAGCGGAGTTACAGGTTTCGCGTTGTAGGCAGGAGGAGGAGACTTAACGGGGGTGAAAACTGGCGGTTGGGCCCTGTGACTCATTTCATGCACCTTAACGAAATATTGTTTAAAACAGTAGCACCACGCTGAACAGCCGACAAATCATGATTAAACTATAGATTTACTGATGCAATCTGCAGAAGAACGGAAAAGGTGACTTAAAATATGCGAGAGAGTTGGATGCCTTGAGTGGTAAGATGATATAAACATTATCAGTATTAATGTGAGCACGGAAACTACGGGAACAAAAACGGTACACTCGGTGACGCAAGCAAAACCAACAATTTTTTAATCAGCCTTGAGATGAACGATTACACAGCTTAACACAGAAACATAACTCTCATTGAATCCCTTCAAAAATACAGAAACTTTTCGAGAAAGTAAATAATTGGCAAGGTGCCAAGCACATTGGCATTGCAACAACTGCATGGCAACCCAAAATCCCCGAACGTTTGGGCATCACGGATACTGATCATTCGTTCCGTTAGACATTGCGAAATGAGAATTTCTCAGTTGGAGAATTCTCGAAAAAAAAAGAGGTGAATGAAGAAGGAGTACGTACGTAAGACCGCCACAGGGAGGTTGGGAGGACAAAATCCCAAACAATCGATCGATTTAACAAGGTTCCAACTGCACGCTAATTGTGGACTTTTTGTGCTATACGAAGTCTTATTACACTTTCACAATTAGCAGAAAACTACTAGAATAAGGTGGTAATTTGAAGGACTGTTGCTTTATCAAAGAGCCGCCCGCAATTGCAGTGAATTGAGCGCGTTCTGCCGACGGAGCACATCAGTCATGACCATGAAAAAAATAAGTCCAGGCGATTCCTTGTCGATCCATACTGCTTTTATTTGCTGGCTGTTCTCACTTCCATCAATTAATTCGTGCAACAACTATAGTTGTCGGAGTTTCGTCAGAAGTTTTGAGTTTCTCATTGTCGGTGTAAACAAGCATGAAATAGGTACATGGCGTCTCAGGTTGCAATCACAGTTTGCGATCGTTCGGAACTTATCCTGATGGCGTTGTGGGTGACAATACAAGTTGGGATGGGGCACGCCTATTTTTAGAACGGTAGGCGCGATGTATGTAAGTGGAGAGAGAAAGTTGCTCGTCTACCATTACGTGACGGATAGCTTATGACAGTTAACGTGAAGAGATGCTATGAAGTAACTCACACATTCCAGCTTTTCACGCATGTCAAGTGACTGCCCTCACCCCCACCCCCTAGATTGGCTACACTCCCCTGGCTCACGAATTTCCTCAATTCTCGTGACAGTATAGTAGCGGGCAGCAGTCCCACTTACATACATTTCGCGCCTACCGTATTCAAAAAATACGGCGTGCCCACCTCACTTGTATTGCACCAGATTGTGCAGTTGCGTGGTCAATTCCTACCTAGTTCACACTGTATTGTACGATCGGACGATTGGAAATCAAAAAGCCCCGTTCATAGATTGCGATTGACACGATTTGGCGATTTAGCGATTATGGTGAAAGGGGGGTACCGACTGAATGATCGTCGACATGTCGCATCGATCTATGCTCTGGGGGGGGGGTCAATTCATCAATGTGCACCTGGTCCGTTGAGCATAATCGTCAAATCGCATTTCGCGATCTATGAACGGGGCCTAAGCTGCCTCCATTCGATGCTCTCGTCTGCGCTCTCTCGCCTTATCAGCGGCTCATCACTGTGATCTCACACATTCAAACTTTTGCCACACTGTAGTTGGCTCACCCACCTCGGAGTCCCTCCCTCCTACAAGGCTTAGTCCTAGAGCTCTCACCTTTCCTCCTTGGGTTTTGGAGCCAAGGCAGGTGCCGCTCTTCAATCCTCCGCCATGCGTGGCAGGGCCCATAGAAGAAAGTTCAAATAGTGAGAGAAGACACGTCCCTCTGCGAGGGGCTTGACACGGCCTGAGGGGAAAATACAAGGTTTCCTGTTCTACCATTGACATTGGTGTTATATCCATCCTCCTTCGAGGAACACTTTATCCTCTGAAAAATCACGTAGCTTTAATTCTTTGAAAAACAGGTTCGCGGAGGGGTGTGGGTCACTAGGACAGAAAGCGACTTTTTCGCGTTTCGCAGCGCGATCGTTGCGGAAATCTCGGGTCCACTGATGATTCGCTGCGGGAACTTCCAGTTCACTGATAAGCAGCGGTGAACAGCGGAAAATGTTTCGCGCTGCGAAACGCGAAAAAGCCGCTTTCTGTCCTAGTGAACCACACACTACGCAAAGGTATGGTGGGTCCTGCGGCGCAACCCTGTTCAGCCGTTCATGACTGCTGTAACCTCGCACACTCGAACATTTCCCCTGGCTCACGGGTTTCTCG